CTCTTATTAGACCACCCCCTCCCCTCCCTTCCCTTCATCCTATGTGCCCGCAACTGTGGTTACACACACACACACACACACACACACACACACACACACACACACACACACACACACACACACACACACATGCTCACGCATACACACACACTCACACACACACATAAGATTATTTATTGTAGAAGTCTTTACTACTACAATAAAAAAATTTTATGAACACTACCTGTTTTGGACATATTATGAGAATGGGGCCACAACAGCCAGCCTCCAAGGCCTAAAACATGCGATTCAAGGGATTCAAGGTAAAAGAAAGACCGAAAAAAAGATGGATCGACGGAGTCAAAGAGACCCTCCCAAAGGAACAAAATGACTATCCAAACAGGTCCGCAGAGGGCTGGCACTTAACCTGCAAGGTCAACTGTGCAAACTATACAAGAGTTAGGGTTAGAGTTAGGGTTTAGGATTAGCGTTAGGGTCACGGGTTAGGGTTGGGGTTAGGGGTTAGAGTTTAGGGTTAGGGTTAGAGTTAGGGTATAACCCGCTCAAAATATCCCCTCTTTTGTGTGTTGTTTGTCGGCCGGCCCTCTGCGGAACTCCTTCCCAGCAACACACCAGGCCCACATCTTACTTACAGCTACTTCATCTCCCTTTGACACCTCGTGGTATTTATAAGAGGACAAAAAAAATATTAAAAATTTAATAGTAAGAAGTAAGAGTAAGTACCTGTCCATGAGTGAAGTCTGAGTGGTGAGAAGCTGTAATTCCTTAATTGTTGTTGCTATCGATCCAAGCACACTGTCATAGAATGACACACAAAGACACGAGTCATCTTGTCGCTTACTTCTGAATGTGTTCGTGTCCTAAGCCAGGATTAAGTTTCTGTATATCAGTTACAGCCCCGATGTTACAACAACTGCGGCGCCCCTCTTGCGAAGTGAACTGTTGGTTATAATTCTCTCGTTTCTCTCTGTGGTGTGTACATTGGGTTATGTATGGTTTATGTGCTCCTATTTCCAAAAGTCGGCCATATTATCACGTGCCCCCTCCCCCCACCAACTCTTTTTACACACCCTCACCGAGAGAGATCGATTTAAATCATCTTGAATTTTCCTCTCTCAGCTATTCAATGTGTTCGATTCTGTGTTCCAATAGCTGAGAGACGTTTACGAAGCTGATAAAGAATCCTCAATACATTCTATGAGTCTGATACATAAAGCAGACATATAGGTTACACAAAACTAAATGTTTTTTCTTTATCTTATTCTTTTTAATCTCCTAATCCGAGAGATCGATTTAAATCCGTCAGATTTAAACTCAGGAATTCTATACTCTACGGCATCGATATACACAGGGGACGGGGGAGGGGGGTGGACAAGTGGTCCAAAATTAATAAACGGGGGGTTGGAATAAAAAAGGGGGGAAAAAAGGTGGGGGGGAGGGGTGACACATTCAACCCCATACCCCTGTACTAATAGGAACAAATTTCAATCTGTTTTATTTCTCCTCCGGTGAATAAAAGAACAAGAGATCCAGAAATTTCAGTGATTTTAGTAGGTTACTGCCACAACTTTTCCCCATTTAGGAACAAACCAGTTTCATAAAAATATAAACCAGTGTACAAAAGTTTGTTTGTTTTTGTTTTGTTTTGTTGTTGTTGTTGTTTTGGGGGGGAGGGGGGTTGTTTTTAAAAGTGTTTTGCGCATTCGCAATTGCACAAGGTCATATGAGCGCGTGGGACACATGCAATATTTTCAGTTGGTAGGAAATTTAGATTTTTGCCCGGGTGGCGGCCGAAGCCTACTCTTATCGAATTTAGACCACAAAGGGATCTTTAACGTGCACAACTTGCTCATGGGACCTCCGAAATTGTTAGAGAGCAGAGCCACCCTTTTAAAATGCACAGAAAAAGAAAGTTTCATTCAGATATCTTGATCTAGATTCTAGATTTACACATGATCGTCGGTCGTAGCGAGCTGGAAAATAATAAACGTGGGGTGTGGAATAAATAGCGGAAGGGGGGGGGGGGGCCTTATTCGATACCTTCGAGTTTGCCTTAGCCTAAATAGTTGAGACGCTTACGAACCTAATCGTGGACGCTCAATGCATTTAATGTATTTAAAACATGGAGTATTCGTTTTCGTTACACTTCACTTAATGCTTTTATTTTATCTTTTACGTTTCTTTTAAATGAACTAACCCGTTAGGTATTCCACATTTTTTCTATGTGCCCGCAACTGTGGTTACACACACACACGTACACACACACAAACACACACACACACACACACACACACACACACACACACACAGAGAGAGAAAGAGAGAGAGAGAGTGTGTGTGTGTGTGTGTGTGTGTGTGTGTGTGTGTGTGTGTGTGTGTGTG